TAAAAATATACTATATTGGCATAAATTTACTTTATAATTTTAAATTTTAAGAGAAAAAATGCATAATTTTGAATTTTTGATCAAAAATTCAAAAATTAAAAATTTTTCTCTTAAAATTTAAAATAATAGATAAACATATATTAATATAGTGTATTTTTATGCATAGAACAAGTTTACTTATAATATAAATATAGGTTTAATTAGTACAATTTTGTGGATTTTAATATTTTCTATAATTTTATTAATAAAATTATAAAAAATATTAAAATCTACAAAATTGTACTAATTAAACCTACATTTATGTTTTAAGTAAACTTAATAATATACCATAATAGCATATATTTATCTTATAATTTTAAATTTTAAAAGAAAAATATTTAATTTTAGAATTTTTGATTAAAAATTCAAAATTAAGTATTATTTCTCTTAAAATTTAAAATTATAAGGTAATTATATGCTGATATAGTGTATTTTTATATATAGAACAAGTTTACTTGGAATATAAAGATAGATTTAATTAGTACAATTTTGTAGATTTTAATATTTTCTATAATTTTATTTATAAAATTGAAAATTACTACATATTACCAGTAGTAATCATCACCAGTCCTAAGATTTGTTAGGGTTAGGGTTAGAAATTAGAGAATTATTTTTTTTTATATAATATAATATAGAGCTAATATAAAGTTCTAATTTTAGTTTTTGTGAGGTTTTTGGGGGTTCTGAACATTTTTACTTAGAATACCCGATCCTGTTTACTTAGTATATTTTTGAGATATAGCAACACCGGTGATGATCACTAGTGGTGGTAAATAGCAAAATTCTAAAAGATAATAGTAAACTATTTTATCATCTATAATACAAGAAAGCTATATCAATTATAAAAAATCAAATAATTATTTTACTTTTAAATAATAACAGTTTTGTATTAAGTAATTAAATTTGTCAATATCTATAAAATTACACTCATTGTTAACAATTTCAAAGAGATATTTAAGTATTTTTCTTATATAGTCTAACCTCTCTATAGTCATCTTCTATATAAGCATATTTTTTTAAAAACAAACCATTATTATTAAATATAATAAATTTGATTTCTAAAATTGTTATATTTTTCTACAATAATATATTTTTGTATTTCAAGTATGTGATTATAAAAAGGTTTGACTATATTTATATAAAATAATATGTTATAATTAAAATAATTCTACATAATCATTATAAAAAAAAATAATACTATATAATCATTATAAAAAAAAAATAACTTATCTTTTTGCTTTATAATTACTTTTACTCTTAATAAATGCCTCAATAATTTTCTTATTCTTATTTTAAACTAAACCAATAGAATTCAAATTAATAGAATTTTTTTCAAAAAGATCTTTAAACATTATTACAAATCTATTTTTAAGTTTTCATTTTATTCTAATTATATAACAATAAAAATATTTTATATTGGTATACAATTGTATATAAAGTATTTGTTAGTATTATCTTTAATTTACCCTAGATAGCCTTGAATAAAATTACAGTCAAACAGGTAACTATTTAGCCCATGTCTTTTATAAATATAAATAATTTAATTAATTGCTATTCAAAAAATATATTAAGTGAATAACATACTAAGATTATATTATAGACAGTATTCAAAATTTGTATTCTCAGAGTTCTCATAAGAACACAATCATAAGTTTGTTAACAGTATAAATTTTTTACTGCTTACTATGAAAAAATTTTTGATAACAGCAAAATAATAATATTGTTCTTATAAGTTTATAATAGTTAGCTATATGATATCATACCAAACTGCTAAAACTAATAAAAATGGCTATCTAATTTATTATAACTACTTATTGAAGGTACACATCATATTTAACATTATATTAGTTTTTAATTTTTTTATTTTATTTTATTTTATTTTATTTTAGCGGGTATAAGTATGAACATAAATAATATTTTGAGAACACTTATAGCAATAATTCTGTTCTCATAAGAACAGTATTTGAGTTCAAAATTTTGAACACTGGTTATAGATGCAGGTTAAATCAATAAATAACAGGTACATATCAGAAAACAAATCTTTTAGTATGTATCTGTTATTTTACTACATATTTGCCAAATAACTGTAGCATATCAGTAGTATATTAGTAATATATAGCTTAGATATCAGGGAGTAGATTGATAACAGTAACATAACAGTAACATACCAGGATATCCTGATATCTTACTTCTATCCAAATAGTGCTAAGAGTAAGATATCAGGATATCTCAGTATGTTACTATTATGTTACCATTATTGATCTACCTCCCAATATTTAACCTATATGTTACCAATATGCTACTGATATGCTAGAGTCATTTGGTAGATGTGTGGTAGAATAATGAATATATACCAAGAGATTTGTCTCCCAATATATACCTATTATTTATTGATTCAACTTGTAAGAGCAGCAAAGTTACATATTTAAGATTGCAATTATCATCAGCATTTTTGTCTTGCTGTTTCTATAATCTTTTGGTTAAAGTATAAGTAAAATGTGCTATTCCTGTAATAATTTTCACTATTAAATTATTCTTTCATTTCTATAGTAAATAAATAATAAAAAAAAACTATTTTATAGTTGGAAAATTTTTATATAATTTAGTTAAATCTATTATAATGATGAGTTAACACAACTCAAGGCTATAATTAAGTAATATAAGTATTTTTGCAACTATTATTCATTCTTAGTTTCTAATTGCTTGATATTGTTGCATCTAAAGTAGCGATTTATCTAAAGTAGCTACTTTAGATATATAAAGTAGCGCCTGACTAAAATTAGGCCCCTGAAATTAGATCTTCATGCATGCACTAAATCGTAATTCTAGCCCAGGGCTACTTTAGATAGGGTGGCTACTTTAGATGCAACAACATCACACAATTTTTGGATTATAGTATATCTATAAATTTTACTGCCTAGTCTTCAAATTCTATGTACTTCTATTTAAAAAACATTTGTAAATAAAACTAACAATTTAGGCCTTTTTAGTTTAAATTATTATATAAAAATTTACATAAATAGAATCTTTAATTTACTTTTTTCACCTATAATATTTTGTGAAATAAACTGCAATAATTTTATATTTTTAAAGAGTCACAGATTATATGGGCATAGAATTTTTCAGTAAGTACTTTTATCCATACTTAAAATTGTTTTTATATCTTATTTGTATATATGAAGATAAACATTAACATAGAGAAACTTTTCATTTTGAATCAAATAACTTCATGCTTATTTATACTAATAATACAAATTCTAAAAAAAAACACAATTGGAGATTAAATAATGCATAAAATTTATTATATGAATAGTATGCCAAGGTTAAATTTATTATTTTTATATATTTTTTTAGCCTATTTATATTGTCTTGGCCTATTTATTATTTTTCTATTTCTTTTTTTTAACTTATTTATTATTTTTTTATATTGTTTTTTAGCATATTTATTACTTCTCTATATTATCTTTACAACTAATTTATTATTTTTTTGTAGTATCTCAACTAATTTATTATTTTTCTATTCTATATTCTCAACAAGATCATAATTTCACTCAAGCTACTACTATAAAAAACAAAATATTAAAACTAGTAATCAGCTCTCTAGAAAAAAAATTTAAAATATTAAAAAATAAAAATATATCAGTAAAAAGAAATTCAATAATAGTACAAGAAGAACTTGAAACTTACAAAAACCAAATACTTGTCCACTAAAACTAGCACTTAAGTATTCTACTTCCTGGGTTCTAATACAAATTAATGAACCAGAGAGTCAACTGTCAAAAAAAAGAAAATCTTGCCATTCACCTGACTTCTAACTAACAAAGAACCTTTATAGACACTAAAAGAAATGAAGAAATTAGCAAAGAACAAGGCAGAAAATATCAAAAAAAAAAAAGAAAGAAACTGCTGTTTAAAGCGAGCAAATCAGGAGGCAAAAAGTGCAAAAAAAGGTTGCAATTGTATAAAAATAAAATAAGATGTAATTATGTGATATCGATATGCATATCGATATGTAGTGTACAATAATACAGTAGCGATAGTAGTGTAGTTGTGTATCATAATACCTCAACCTCAAAAAACATAACAGTTTTAAACGGTTTTTAAAGCTTAGAATATCAAGTTTTTTAAAAAATTGTAGGTTTTTTTTTATCATTAGATAGTAAATCGTTAATTAAACAAATCTTGTGAATAAACATTCCTTTCATAAAAATTTTTGTTATTAGCAACTCTTAAGTGTACAATAATACCCGACTTTCCCTCAGACTTTAAAGTTCTTTAGTATTTTTATATAAAAGTCTGATAAGCATGTTTGACTCTACATCAGAGAACAAAGTGATCAAAGATTAAAGTAGGACCGCGGATAATTCTAAAAGAGGTAATATTATTAAACTGGACTTTTTTTTTTGGCCAAAATTCTTCTAAATTCTGGTCAAAATTAAAATTTAATTTTATTTTAGAAGTGTCTGGGCCAAAAATACCCAGTTTAATAATATTACCTTTTTCGAATTATTCGGAATTCTATTAAAGTGAAACAACCTTTATCAAGTATAACAAGGGAAGTCTCATAATAAATGAAATATCGATCCTCTTTTCAATTAAGGGTGTATAAGAAAAAATGGCACTAAAAGGATATGCGAATTATGAAAATTTTTCGAAATTAAGTTTGTTATAGAAATTGTTTGCTTCAAATAACTGAATTCAAATAAACTTGTGTAGTTTTAGCTTTTTATGCATCAATGATAACATAGCTTTATAATATAGAATAATATTAATTTTAATTAGCAGCTGTTTTTATTAAAAAGAAAAATCATTTGTGCGATTTCGATCGGAGACAAAGAATTAATGACTATCAGCCGCAAATAATACCTTTTTTTGATATGATTTTTTTTTAATATAATATGAGTTTTAGTCATAGATCATATTGGTCATATTTCACTGACTCTTACATAAAGCATAATGCCTTACTAATCTTCATTATGACCCGTCGTTAACTATAAGGGCTAAACAGTGCATGTATGCATTTGCACTTTCAACCCAGTTTGTAACAACGGCGATATCAAGTTTGTGAAACATAAGATCAAGACTTAGAAGCTCATCTGTTAATCCATAATCCGACAGAATAACGTCTATTGAATGTGTTTAATGGAAATTATCAGCAAATTTAAAATGCTAAAGATAAAAATCAAAAACGAGTATACATACTATCATCTATATATTGAAACTTAGCAAATGATTGCGTCTGTACAACCACACCTTTTACTTTCGAGAAATCTTTTTCGTTCATTCCTAAGCGTAGTTTAAGACGTAACATTGTCTTAGAGAAAGGCTCATCCTAATTGTATAAAACGTAAAATAATAATTATAAATGCAAGCAGTCTAACATGAAAATAGCATTAAAAGATACTTACAGCCTTAATAACAAATTTAAATGGAATTCCATGCGTGCGTAACGGTTTCTTAATAAAATGATATATTTGAATAACTTTATCATTAGCGCCTAGTTCGATTTCATCTTGTGATATTTCCTAAATATGAAATAGGTTATTTCCAAAAATAAGGTAAAAAAATAAATCTCTAAAGTCGCAAAATGAATTAAAGAACAACCTCCGCATATAACGTCAGATTTTCTTGTATCATATCTATTGGATCGTTAATATCATATTCTTTTTGAATTTTGCAATGTAAGACATCATATAATCTAAGTTTAATAGTAGGTCTTAATGCTAGTTTGTTTATAATTATTTTAAAAATTTCATTAACTATAGCAGTTTTTGGAAGACAAATATCAATCATATCCTTTAATTATGGAAAATAATTATTAATGATTTGCTAATATATAAATCGAAATATTGTAATGTTCTTTTTACCTCTTCCTTGACAGCTGTTCCAAGCCAGTATACCTTAAAGAATTTTTTGGATTCTAATTCCACAATATTAATGTCAAGCATCTCATAATATAAAAGTTCCACTGATTTAGATGAATAGGTTGTTTGAAGCATCTCTGACAAAGTTTGTGTGGTCGTCTTTTTAATTACAGTTTTGTTTGCCGTTGTAAATCGTAGCTTCAAAGGATCCATGCTTAAAAAAGTAGCAACACGTTTGGAGACCTATAGAAATATAAAGAAACAAAATAAATACTTATTAATTAAATAAATTGTTAAAATTATAGTATTATATGAGTATGATATTTTTATGAATTCCTTATGAACATAAACTCAATAAAATATCATATTTCGCTATAATACCTTTTCACTTTACCATTCATAATAATGTGAAAAAAGTAATTTCAACATACATCATTATATGTGTATTTCTTATTTAAAACTAATTCAAATTCAGGACATTGTTCTTGGTCTTTATGTTTCGGTTTAAATTGAATGATGATACGCATACATAATGACTCGTAAAATGTAGGAATATCATGAATACGACCCGCAGCAGTATGTTCTTGTATTCTAAATAAAAGCAACAAAATTTTCTTATAAAATGAATTTAAAAAAAAAAACAAGATAAGAATAGGATAATAAATAATATACTCTTTTTCAGTTAAAGCTTTTTGGAAGCAAATTATATCACCATCTTGTATCTCGGATCGTTGAAAAGTCCATTCGGGATTCATTTCTACAATCATACTTGGCCTTAATTCCTATATTTTATTAAATAAATATGTCGTTGCAATTAACAGAAAAAAACAAATAATGTATGCAAAGTATAACTTACTTCGTATATTTTCAATGGTATATGTGGTGGAAATTCCTTCTTCTCGCAAAGAATTGGAATAATATCTCCAACTTTACCAAATTTTTGAACATATAATTGACAGAGTCCTCTGTTTACATAAGCGTGAAGATTAATTCTCATATTAAGTGAATTAATAGAAACATATTTAAACTACATACACCAAAGACTGTGTATCAGGGTTAAAATACTTAATGAAAACCAAAATAGAGGACCAATTTCCTATCAGCGGGAATAATATCTACGTATCAAATAAACCAATTGAAATAGTGAGCAAAAAAACATGATTTAATATATAATAGATTGTTAAGTACTAAGCATTACTTTGCCGTTAATTGGTTTTGCCACTTCCAAAAATAATTTAAATACATTTTGTCTTGGTGCCATTTTTGTGTGAATTTGTTCCATTGCTATTCATCACAAAAAATAACATGTTGATAGAAGTTTTATGAAATGAAAAGAATCGTATTTTAATATAACTTACTCATGTCAAGACAATCGTCCATTATTGGAACATCTGGCCTAATAGTCCTATTTTGGCGATTTACAAGAACCCAGAGTCTTATTTGCTCAACCGGAATCTCAAGTTTATTGGAAATTTTAGTTTTAAAAGTTCTATATGTCTCACTTTTCAAAACTTTAAACTGTGGAACTTCAGATAACGGATATTGCCGATCGCCGAAATTTGCAAGATCAAATCCTTGATAGCGCTCAAAGATAGTTGGAGTCACAATCTAATTGTAAAAGTTGAAAGTAAAACTTAAATTGCTATGAATAATATAATTTACTATTGATTTACATAATGTTGTCACCTAATTAACGTAATTACCTTAGTATACAGACATAAATTACATTCTTCGACTTTTTTTATTAACTGTTCATATAAAGCTTTCTTTTCATCATCTAAGTGTCTTTCTACTAATGTGTACGTGAAATATAAACTTTTATAATACAATTTCAAATTATAATGTCTCATAAATAAGATCACTCACGCAGATGTTTTGGTATATCCTCAGAATGTATGGGTGATAACACAAAATCGATATCAGATTCACGGATATATATCAACATACATGCATTTGTTGAATTGATGGCATCAACTCCGTAGTTATCTTCAAGCACTTCCATATCAGTTGCAGGTGTAATTCTAATATCATCAAATTTGAACCTTTTATGATAATTAATATTAGATATCTGACATATTATTACGATCTAAACATCAATTTATTGCCAAAATTCAAACCATTTGCCATTCTTTTCTGGCTTTAAAAAAACATAATAACTGCCTTCATGTAAATCACCACTATGAACAATTACTCTAAATATAGTAAAAAGGTATTAATATGTGTTGAAAGTCATAAACATTTAGAATAATGATAACACTGCTACAAACCCATAAAGTAAATAATTATGCGGTTTTGATCTATCACTATCTGGTGATAAATAACTTTCTAAATCAATTTCAAGAGGATATTCAAGACGATCATTTATCTAAGTATAATTTTCAAATCAACAATTACTGAATTATACCAGAGGTCATAATAAAAATTAACAGATATAGGTACCTTAACTACAGTATTTCTTTGCGAATCATATTCAAATCGTTTTAATTGTATACGTAGCACGGGTGGGAAACTCTCAAAAATTACACCTTTCTTTGCATCCTATCGACAATTATACTGTATAATCAAAATCTTTGCATTTAAGTAGTTTTCGGTAATTTTGTGACAAAAATATGACTTACTTGTAAACCATAAGTTTCAGTTTGATATTTATTTCCTTCACAAGACTCTTCACAAATATAATTCATTAAAGAATCGCTTAAAGTTTTGTACCCTTTTACTTCAAGAAGAATATCTATCGCGATAAAATTATTCTTTAAATCATTTTAAAATTTATATACATATAATCACGACATATAATCATATAATCATATATTCGCTAATACCATAATAATCTTTTATGCGTGAACTCTCATAATTTACGTTGGTACATCTAACATAATTCTTCATTTTTCCAGCAAAAAGTCTAGAAATGGCATCATCTAAATTTGTATTCTAAACCCAGATATAAAGTTAATCAATTTATAGGTGAAAATTCGAATAACTTGAAATATTGTTTAATTCAATAACAATAATCCCACCTTCATTTTATTCCTTAAACAATAATTTGAAATTCGCAGTAAATTATTATGCGAAGCAATAACTTTACAAAGATTGCTATAATTAAATTTAACCATTTCACTGACATATATTTTTAAACAGCATATTTATCCAAATCTTTTTTGCAGGCAGCCTATTTTGCCAACAGAACATTTTTTGGCGTACGGTTGTTAATTGACATGCTAACAATCATTTGGTCAAATTCGTTAAACTTTAATTTTAATATTATTAAAATTTATACTATACATATCTTATCATTGCCTTTATTTGTCATATTATTGAATAAAATTTAGAAAGTTTGTAAGTTCGAGTAATAACTAAATACCTAGACTGTAGCAAGTTTTCTGTAAGTTGAATTATTGATAAGCTGAAGGATTCTTTCCACTTTAAAGAATACTCTTATTTTGAAGCCTAACTTATTATATTCAACCCTTTGTTTTTATATTTTAACAAGAACAGTCTTTGCCATAAAATTCTACACAAACTAATTAAATTGAGAATACAGCATTAGACAAGCATTCGCCTCTATGTTAGGTTTAGTTCAGTAACAAGCAGATTATAAACATCAAACACTTCTTATTCAACATTTTTTGGTCGCATCGATTAATTTAGTATGAATATTATAATTAATCGATGTATTCTTTCAATAAACAACTTAACTAAATTATAACTCTCTTTAAACATTTAAAATTATAAGTAATTGAATAATATTTACTTGTTTTTCATTCTATCTTCACATTCATGTTTAATTTTATTCGCATTTATTTAATTAGCATATAATTTTATATTCAACTTTATCGCATTGATTTAGCAATGTATTATCTACATAACTATATATATCTATATGTATAAAGTATTAAAAATGCACGTTGGATAACCATTGTATATTCATGTAATATATTTGCATTGGACCGCCAAAAAAAACCTATCTTGGTTTAGATTTATATATGCAAACAGCCCGATAGGCAATAAACTTGAAACCCAGATAACGGGGTTTCTTTTTTACGGTATATAGCCCGTCGTTTAACGACGGACGGTCCCTAATATTCGTCTACAGTAATTTTTTGATAAAAATTGTTAAAGTATAACGATAAGCTATTTGACGAGGATCATTTCGTCTTAACTTGGTAAGGTTTACCGTTACATGAACTACCACTTAAATTCTTTTTTAAAATTTGCGTTACAAACAAATCCACCCCTCGAAAAAAATATCCCAAATTATACAGTGTAACCATTCTATGGAAATTCATTATTTTTAAATATGGTATCTATAATTACTCTATTACTCAGAATATTTTAAATTAATACCCATCTCTCGTTTTATCATTTCTCGAAATAGATTCGACAAAATGACTAATGCTAATGTAGATTGTATGTTTTACGTTTAATTAGTTAATCGAAAATCAAGATATGAACTAACCTTAAATAAATTTTTACAACTACATTATATTATTAACATTTCTTTTGTTGCTATATTTTTTATATTCATAAATTGCAGACCAAGCTATTGCAAATAATATTATGCCAGATCTCGGTTATGAAATTGAGGATTTCCAATATCATACATGGCAAATCACATGTTGGAGCGGTTTGGAAAAGAGGATAACAGGTCCTGAGTTTGAAACTGGAGGTTGGAAATGGTAGGTTCACTTAAATATAAAACTCAAATATAGATTCGCGTTTTAATTAGATTATAAACTTAAAATTTAGGCGTATTTTGCTTTTTCCTTCTGGAAATAATATTCCAGACTTTGCTTCAATTTATCTGGAGTTTGCTGATCCAAAGGGAGCACCTACCTATTGGCATTCCTGCGCACAATTTGCTTTATTCTTATGGAATCCAGGAGATCCAACATGTTTTGCTTCTCATAGTATGTATTAAATTATTCATCATTTGATAATCAATGCCACTAACATTTT